TGTCGTACAATCGACGGCAGTCCGTCAGGGTCCCGTTGCCATTTACAGCTGGCCAAACTGGTGGCAAATGAAGAAACTTGTCCGAAACTGCATTCGAACTCTCGCAAGATGAACTCACTCGCGCAGCGCCCAAACCACTGCGCTACCGCCACGCCACAGCGATTTCAAAATGCCGTATATGAATTGTCCGAGTACATACTTATTGTATATATATTGTAATAACGTAAACTGATCCATAGATCTTTTCAAGAGACAAACTAATCTGCAGCAGAGATCATTGACATTAAATTTTGAAAATATATATAGTAATGTAAACCGATCCATAAGCCAATTGTACCGAAAAGATTTTTGTGATCAAATTTGGTAGTCTAACAAGGTTACACCTTGAGAAGTGAAACAGAAATTCTTATGCTTTCATGCTGATGTCTCATATAGTATCGCTTGGCTGATAATTTTAACCTTAAGTGACTTGTGTAAAACTTTTTCTCATTCATCGCAAGGTTGGAGGCAAGCAGCGGAATAGATCAGAATTTCATGGAGAGCAACAAAAGAATATTTTCATATTTTACAATAAAAATTGAGCAGTGCCCTCATTCTTGAAATGATACGATGAGAAGCAGTGGTTATCATGAACTGACAGAAGAGATTAATTCTTTCGCTGAATGTGAAGACTTCTTGAGGGAAAAACAGAAGTGTTTGCAACCTTTACATGCACTTTATCCGCTGATTCTTTATTTTCATGTTGCTTAGGCGTTATAGTAAGTTCCACCTCGGTTTAAACTACTAATTTATTGCTGATCACCACATGCAGTCTAACTTTTTCATTATTTCAAGAGCTGACACGGAACGTAATTTCTGCTCCATAAAGCTATGTGAAAATTTCCTCGTGCAAAACAGATATGGACATTCTAACTGCAGTCCCAAACGGAACCATGAATTTCATTCAGGTCAAAACGGCTTGTCGGATACTTTCGGGAACCACACAGAACTAACGCAAAAATATGAAAACCATGTTGTGTTTTTCGCCCTTGTGTTGTTGCGATTATTTGCAGTTTATACACCAGGCCGTCCTCTATTAATTACGATGGAACAATACAGAGTAAAGAGTGAATAGAATATGGCATAACTAGGAGAAAAACTGCTCAGATTCCGGTATATAACTTATTGTAATGGAAATCTAACATATTTCGTTGAGACGAACAGCCAAAAGCTGGAAACAGTTGGTCGAGCCGTGTCCAGCGCCATAAAGAACAGTTTTTAAAGCTGGATGTCATAAATTTCAGCATACAACGGGGATAATTATGGTGCAGGAGGTGCTGTACTGAAATTTGAGTAATAGATATTCAGTACCGGCTTATGAACAAGCTGAGAAGGACAAAAGATATTAAGGGAAATTATGCCTTATGAAAGCTGGCTGGAAACATCGGTGAAGGTCTGTTGTGTACGTATCGTGGCGTCGTTTATATTATAAGCTAGCTTCTTCTACTGCTGTTGTTTTACAACGTCGAATTCTAATCAAAAGGGGGAGGGGGTTTGCTGTAACAGAGAAAGGCGTCACTGAAAAATTACTGTGAACAATTGTATTACGCCCTTTGCAAGAAATCATTCGTCCATTCATTTCGATCAATCTAGTAATTTCTAACCGGTGGTGACGATTTGCTGCTTATAGAAGCTGAACAAACCTCATTTGTTTTCATGGTATTACGGAAATGCGGTAGATTTATTTTCGAACGAGTGACACAAAAAAGCATTGAGGTCACGTTGATTTAAAACCCAGTTAGTGGCTTCCGCCTCCACCCAAAAAGTCCAGCAACGGGCGTGTGCCAAGCTGCATCTCGGGCGTCACGATGGATTCTCATTCTCAACCTGCAATGGTCTCGCTTCCGGATCTGTAGCTGACTAGTACTACTTGCAGCGATTACCGATGTTGTGATTTTTTGATAGATTTAAGTGTGATTTACTATGGAAACTCCTGCCGTTGATGGAGATTGACCAACCTCAGTTCTGACGTCACCATTCTCCTCCAACAGGAAGCCAACGTACCAGGGGAGGTAGAGCTGCCATTGTAACTCTTCATCTTCCGCCTAGGTAACGACCTTCAGCTGCACTTTACACGAGCGTAAACTAGTCATGCAGATGACGGATAAAATCTGCAGCCGGTTTGCGTTGCATGATGGCAAGAAGCTGGTGCAAATGCAAAGAATGGCGACGAAAGCAATTTTCTCGCCGTTGTTAGCATGTCGAAAATAGGTTTTTTTTGGTCGCGAGTGCTTATTGATTTTTTCAGCTAAAGTACAACGTTTCGCTGCTTAATAAAGACGAGAACGAGGCATTGAGTCGTCGAACTCACAGACAAATCGATCTGTCCGCCAACCACCACCACGACGAAAACATCAGGAAATGCTTAAAGGCGGTTGCAGCAGCGGCCGCAGGCGATTATTGCCTTCTGTGTACTGTCGAGCTTGCAGCCAGTGCGGTAAGTCACTCCCTTGCCATACCGCCAGTTTCGCTGGCATGTCTGTGCGATGAATGACTGACGACGATGCGCTTTTTATGGACATTGACCAGTGACGTCATCACATTGGTAAGTATGTATTTTTTACCGTAGCCTCAAATCAACCACTTATTTGTTTGTTTCGTCTTCCGATTATTCCGTGTTTTAAAATAACATTGCTTTGTGTTACCAGAGATTTTTCATATCCTTTAGCTGGTTCCTTGTCAAATTTCTGTCATGTGATGTGCTGGCTTACTGTGCCGCTTAATTCTTTGTTTCTTTACCTGATGTGTCCTGTGATTCTGCTATGTGATCTACGACATGTAGGGTTCATTTTTTCGCATCCTGAAAAATGGTGTTCAACGGTGATGCAGTTCAGCCACTAAGCAACAGACAAGTCGAGCGCCGTGAGTTTCGTATGTCAAGATCATCGTCAAACGGTCACTTGTAAAGTTGAAAAAATTGCTGCATTCTCACTGCCGTTTCTCTCTGTATACCATACGAGGGCCTCCATGCATGAGCATTCCATAACATTACTAAAGATAACTAAATCCAATTAATTTTCAGATTACTATTACACTTATTCTTTTTCCCTAGATATCAAAGAAATTATTTTTGCTCAACATAACCTTAGCTCCTGCAATGGACGGGTTCATTTTACATTCTCTACAGCAATATCACAGCCATTACCAGTGATGCCTATTAAACGGGAGCTCTTGACAGAATATAGATAAAGAAAAGGATCCGTACAGAGTCGTGCAATGAATCGAACCAGAGGGCAAACAATTTTGCATGTATGGAACGTACCGCTCCCCCCCCCC